CATATTGCTGTCGCATCGCGATAACGCGATATGAATAGTCTGCTGATCTGCCCGTTTCGGTAACGTTACATGAAGGTCCGTCTACATGAAGGTCCGTCTAGCAATGAAGGTCAGCAAACAGACGATAGCTCCGCAAAACTTCAGCATCACCATCAGAGACATCTGTTACCCTCTACATGTACGTAGTAGCTCAAACATCCACAGACCTCCAATTGCCTTCCTCCTCCAATGTCTTCTAAGGATGTGACGTTTCATTTTGTAAATGTTTAGCGAACATTTAAAGAATCATCTCAATGTTGAGCCCTTTCACAAAGACTGACAACTGCCCATTGTGCAGACCAACATGATCGACACAACAAATAATAAATGAGTAACATAATAAAAAGAGGGCTGTCATTGAAAACAATAAAAAGATGAGCACGTAGCCTGAAAGTAATCTAGTACTGCAGTTCTCCTTAGCTTTTAGCAAATTGAATAGGTTTGGATTATTTTTGTTATGCATGCTCAACTCAAAGGAAGATAGCGGAAAATAGGTTCCTGTTTTTAAAATTTGAGTTTTGTTAAAACTTTTGGAAAAATACGATTTAGAATTTTGTTTATTATTTTAAATGTTTAAATGTGTAAATGTCACATCCACAATTTCCTCACTCCACCAATACATAGTTCCCCTTTTGCCTGTGGATTTCAGTTTAATGTTTACACTCAGCCTGCAGAGGACAAAAATACTTTTTGATATCAGATTTTATATATTTATTGAATTTGTTAAAAGCACAAGTAAATTAATGTGCACAGTTTAACTAGCTAAATTAAATTTATGATATACATCTTTTTTCAAAGTGGATTTTTGTTAATTTTCACCTACTGCTTCTAATTGTTTCAGCTTCTTTTCAAAAAATTCAATGTACCCACTGACACCCTATATAGTGAACAAAGTTAAACAGTACAACTGCCAATGCATCAACCTTACGCTAGAATCATTCGTGGGTTTATCTCTATCCTAAATGCTGGAGATGTTTATCGTGAATTTCTTCCTGCATGTACACTCCCAGCAAGTTCTTATTAAAAAGGGGCCTACTATGGGTCATTCTTCAGTATCAAGTGTCTACTTTCATGTCCCGACACTTTAAGGCACTATAAATCGAAAAATATAGAATGAAAATTAGATTTTTGAGCAGTGAAATTAACTTCAACACGACTCCTATTATGTGCAGTGTTAAAAACTCTTTAACATAATGGACAAGATGCTCATTCTTTACAATACTCCCTCAAAACCCCCTCAAAATGCATGTCCCCGTGTATTTCTCAATATGTACCTACTGCCATAATTTGTAAAGTAAACAACTTGAAAAGGTAATTATACCTGCAAAAGCCAAGTACTATAATAATTGTCATTTCCGTCACAAAAGGTGTGACGGATATGACTTTTGCATTCTTTTCACAATCAATATTTCTTTGGGCCCTATTGAAAATAAAGGAACCCAGCATTATTTCCTGTAGAAAACTACTTCACATCACCACTTCAATACAATAGAGACTTAAATAACAGAGAGAGAGATATGTTGCAAGGATGAATGAAGTCCCTGAAAGCCATCAGCCCTGTTTTTGGTACATAATAATTGTCAATTATCAGATTGATCTTCGATCAGGCCAATCAAATATGTTGAACACTTTCAAGTGCTTCAACATGGGGGGGATGCAGGCGCGGATCCAGGATTATTTTAGACGGGGGGCACACTGTTGGAGCAAAATTATTTGCTCCGAGAACTAATGCGAGCGCGAAGCGCGAAGCCCTTACGGCGTGGGGTCCGGGGCCCGCTTAAGGGCCCCGGGAAATTTTGGATTATAGATGCTCTGTGGTGCAATCTGAGGCGATTCCTGGCTCCTTTCCCCTGAATTAGTTGAGCAAAAGTGTTAAAGATTTTAAGGATTTTTTCAAAACATACTCTTACTTTTACAATTTTTAAGTTACTGTGTGCTTGAAGTCGAAAACCATTTTACGTCTTTATATTTTCTTGCTTTTTATTTTGGAAAAGGAATTGTATTGACTTAGTTTTGTAAACTGTTGCAACGGTGCGTTGTGGCATTTGCTCCGAGGACTAATGCGAGGGCGGATCACGCCTGTCTTACGGCGTGGGGTCCGGGGCCCGCTTAAGGGCCCCGGAAAATTTAGAATTCTAGATGCTCTGTGGTGTATTCTGAGGGGATTCCTGGCCCCTTTTCCCCTGAGTTATTTGAGCAAAACATTTTAAGATTATAAGGATGTTTTTCATTGGTTTATAATATACTCTTGCGTTTACAAGCCTTTTCAGTTTCTTCTGTTCTTCACTTGTATAACCAAACATTTTCGTCTTCATAGTAACTTCCGTGCTTATTTTTGAAAAGGAATTGTATCTTGCAAGGATGAGTATAGGGCATCTTTCCGAAGACCAATGCGGAGCGCGATCATCTTTCGGCGTGGGGTCCGGGGCCCGCTTAAGGGCCCCGGAAAATTTTGGATTCTAGATGCTCTGTGGTGCAATCTGAGGCAATTCCTGGCCCCTCTTATCCGGAGTTATTTGAGTAAATTGTTTTAAGATTATAAGATTTTTTCATTGATTAAAATATAATCTTGCTTTTGCAAGCCTTCTCAGTTTCTTCTGTTCTTCACTCGATACCATGTATTTTCGTCTGCATGTGTCTTCGTGCATAATATTTTTGAAAAAGGAATTGTAAAAACTTAGTTTGTAAACTGGTGTAAGGATGCTTTCTAATGTTTTGTTTCAAGTTGAAATTTTCAGTTTATCAACAAGTAGAAACCGCCTGAACATGTTAATTGAATTCAAGTTTAAAATTAGTGTAATTTAATCAAACTAAAACAGAGGAGCAATTAGCCTGCATTGTAACTTCACAGCTCAGTTTTATCTCATGACTACAGAAATTAATCATACGGTCATCCAAGTTTCTACCTCTTTTTTTTTGCATAATGTAAAATGCCCAAACATTTTAAAGAAATGTTCTTTTAATTCAGTCAAGTTTCAATTTCAAGAATAGGGCCTATTGCACGTGCATGTATTTGTAAATAAACCATAGGCAGATAGGCGGCGCAGCAAGACAAATTGTGTGAGACACTGCGTCTGGTCTTTACAATTATAATAGACATCGGGTCTTTCGGCGCCATGATTGCAATTTCCGCATTTTACAATTTTGAAGGAGGATTCGTCATTTAGTTATGTAAAAACAATTACAGTAAATAATTGTTGATGATAACGTTGAGAAATAGACATCGGGAATAGGTGTATACCTCCCGGTCCGGCACGGATGCCGGCCCACGTCGCCACCGGCGAACTACGATCAAATTTAATATCCCGCTTGCAATTCAAAAAGCAACACACTTGCTTTCTGTCTAGCTTGCAAGAGCATGTCTCGAGTGCTATAACTTGCCTTTGGGCCAAAACTGCTGATTGTTTTTGTCCTCCAGACAAACAGATCTCTTTTATGTACCAAACTTTTCAGATTTGTATTTTCTGAAACGCGTAGTAACGTCAAAACCCAACTTTTGGATCTCAACTTTCTTCGTTAAAAAAACGCTTTATGGATGGATCCATGACCTTCAGGGGTGTTTCAATTTTTTTTTCAGGGTTTTACATCGTTTCTCGAATAAAGTCTTTACGAAACTAATATGATGACGTGACGTTGAAGAAGTCAATTTAAAACAAGGACATGTTTGGACTCCTTAAAAAAAGTATAATTTGTAATTCAAAAGCGCGTGGAACTGCTGGCAAATTGTTCTTACTAAAACACACCCTTGACCAATGGTGTGGTCCAAAGAGCACTGCGCAACGTGTGTTTGTCGTGCACATAAAGCTGCATGTTCGTTGAGAATAAATCGTGTACGTTCGTATGAATCGCATTTAATAACGGTATATGCAGGTAATACGTACGTACGTACGTACGCAAGGGGTACGTACTATGGGATCGCGGTTTATTTTGAAGCTTCTCGAGTCGAGTACGCAATGTTTGCAGGCTTATGTTTAATATCGGCGCCGGTATTTTTGTAAGGAGGTTACCTCCTCCTTCCCTCACCTCCCCTCTTTTCCCCCCTTCTATTCCTTTTTTTTTTTGACTCAAATTTGACGGGGGGCACGTGCCCCCGCGGCCCCCCCCTGGATCCGCGCCTGGGATGCACATATTGTGACGTACGTGAGTAACCACTAGCTTAATTGTCACTTCCTAACATGCTCAAAATCCAAAATGTTTAAATAGGATTATGTGAAAATCTTAGATCTGCGGTTTATGCAACAGGATTGGCACAATTGCGAATCCCACGCTTTGTGAATGCAAATCGCCATGATCGCATCCTTGGTATAGGCCTATGATTCTTTCCCTGCTAAATACTCACGACCGGACCATGAACGTCTTGCAGTTTTTCAGGTTTTTAAGAAAATCGAGTTGACGACGGACACACTGAAACCACCTCACAAGTAGAGATACAACACGTTCCTCGACAACGAATCTGGAGAAAGTTGCATGACCCAACATGGCAACGACATCATAGGGCAAGGGACACACCAACTTTTGCGAGACGGGCATTGTTACATTTTTGTAACACGCAGACAACAAACCACCACGTGTGAATATTATCCATCCATTTTGCACCTGTCAGTATCACAAAACACCACCACCTGTGCGCGCCATCACGTGGGCATACGTCATACCAAGCGCATACCTTGGGATTTTTGTCAATTTTTGTATATATTGGTAACGGTATTGTTCTGCATTGAAAACATCGATTGTCAACAGATCTAATGTTACAGTTGTTATGCTTGCATTAGACTGTTTAATTAGTTGTTAAAATGATTACGTAGACAGTTATGACTCTAAGGCGAAGCTTAATCCGAAATTTCAGAAACGTCACTGTCAAAAAATGTGTTTAGAGGGCGCTGTACCGGCGGCAGATCCAAGAATCAAGATGACGTCCCATGTCACCGATGTTCTGCTCGCAAACACGGGTAAAACTCAGCTGTTCTCCAATAATACTAACCTTTCAGACAAAGGTTCTCTCAAAAAAGTTCCAGAGATTATTGTAGGAAAAATAAAAAACTTAGTGCATTTAATTCCTATGTAGGCCGAGTATTTGAAACGCTTTTTGGTTGGTAAGTATTCGATCTTTATCGTTGCATCGGTTGCGTGATACAACGTATGAGAACGGGTGTCGGTCACTAAGCTTCGCCCGGTAATCCTTACTAGTATTATGACTACTCCAAGAACTATGAGGCTCTCCAGTGAGCCTCATAGACACAGAACCCCGCAAAATTGTTGTCAGCACAAAACACTAATTAAGTACAAAAACGTCCATCCCAACCAAGCTTTTTCCCACAGAACCGCTGCACAGTTTGCCCCTAAACTCCGTACAATACCTCATGACATACGTTATGTGCACCCAACAAACATCGGTGGATTCTGTCTGTTTTCAGCAAAAATGATGAAAAATATGCCCTTTCCGCACTGAGCCAACCTAACACTTGAAACGAGCACGCGCCCTGAATGATCGCAGTCATTTTCGGTTCGATCGCTCGGAGCGCGCCGCGGGGGTATGGTGTAGGAGCGGAACGATAGTATGCGCATGCATACAAGTGCAAGTATGTACCCCCCGCGGCGGGCTCCTAGCGATTGAACCCGAAAATGACTGCGATCATTCTGCGCGCGTGCTCGTTTCAAGTGTTAGGTTGGCTCAGTGTAGTCCGAGTAACTTGGACCCAACTTATCGCCTTTTTAAAAATTTGGACATGGTCTGGCGATAGTAGGGTCCAAGCTCATTCCTCGACCTAGACAACACAGTCACTGACAGTCCCAAAAACCAACATTTTCCAACAAAAAACATCAGATTTCACCTTCAAAACGGCCTCCAAATTACTAGATATGTCACCTGAGGTACAAGTAGACATAGATGATTAAGATGGTTGTACTTAAGTTTACTTACGATCCGGAAAAAAAGTGAAATTTTCCGTTCAATTCTGGAGACCCCCTCTGCCTAGGTTGTCGTTGTTGTGCTCACGTTCAAAACTGCATGATAATGGCGTCTGACCTCGACCTCATGCAAATGTGGTGCGGCGCGCTTGCGCATAATGCACTGCATGCATACCCGGCAGATTCCCCTGCGCCGCGCCGACGACTGTTTCCTGATGTAGAGCGATGTGTAAGTTCGCGGTACGCCTGGCTAGCCAGCGCGACTCCCAGGCGTACCGCGAACTTACACAGCGCTCTACATCAGGAAACAGTCGTCGGCGCGGCGCAGGGGAATCTGCCGTGTATGCATGCAATGCATTATGCGCAAGCGCGCCGCACCACATTTGCATGAGGTCGAGGTCAGACGCCATTATCATGCAGTTTTGAACGTGAGCACAACAACGACAACCTAGGCAGAGGGGGTCTCCAGAATTGAACGGAAAATTTCACTTTTTTCCGGATCGTAAGTAAACTTAAGTACAACCATCTTAATCATCTATGTCTACTTGTACCTCAGGTGACATATCTAGTAATTTGGAGGCCGTTTTGAAGGTGAAATCTGATGTTTTTTGTTGGAAAATGTTGGTTTTTGGGACTGTCAGTGACTGTGTTGTCTAGGTCGAGGAATGAGCTTGGACCCTACTATCGCCAGACCATGTCCAAATTTTTAAAAAGGCGATAAGTTGGGTCCAAGTTACTCGGACTAGGCTCAGTGCAGAAAGGGCATATTTTTCATCATTTTTGCTGAAAACAGACAGAATCCATCGATGTTTGTTGGGTGCACATAATGTGAATATGTCATGAGGTATTGTACGGAGTTAAGGGGCAAACTGTGCAGCGGTTCTGTGGGAAAAAGCTTGGTTGGGATGGACGTTTTTGTACTTAATTAGTGTTTTGTGCTGACAACAATTTTGCGGGGTTCTGACTCTATGAGGCTCCACTACGTGGAGCCTCATAGTTCTAGGAGTATATTATGACCCTGTTCCTACGTAAGGAGGGAAAGACTCACCAAAACAGTTGACTAAATCATGACACTCAAAATTGACATTCTGATATTTCTTGACCCATCTGAACAATTGGCATTGAATGACCAATGACATACTTAGTCCGAGTAACTTGGACCAAACTTATCGCCTTTTTAACATTCGGACATGGTCTGGTGATAGTAAGGTCCAAGCTAATAGTGCGAGCTGGACAACATCATCCTGTCACTGTCCCAGAAACCAACATTTTCCAACAAAAAAACATCAGATTTCACCCGCAAAACGGCCTCCAAATTACTAGATATGCCACCTGAGGTACAAGTAGACATCAATGATTAAGATGGTTGTACTGAAGTTTACTTACGAACCGAAAGAAAAGTGAAATTTCTCGTTCAATTCTGAGAGCTCCCCTCGCGATCTTGAACACGTTAAATTTCTGACTCGTGTTAATGTTTGAGCGACGCGATTTTTTCTTCATGCCCAGCGTACATTCGATGGTCCCCGTATCCCGAGTGCGATTCCGATACCGAGCGCGTGCGATGCATCGATTATGATAATTATCACGTTTGTAAACACAAACTTGCATTTCAAACTGTAAAAGGATATCAGGAACCAGCTTGAACTGGTATCCGCCATAAAAGCTGCGCTAGAGTTCACGACTCCCTATTATCGTTCGAAATGCACATGTGTTTACAAACCTGATCCAGCCTACTCATTATCATAATCGATGCATCGCGCGCGCTCGGTAACAGAATCGCACTCGGGATACGGGGACCATCGAATGTACGCTGGGCATGAAGAAGAAATCGTGTCGTTCAAACATTAACAACACGAGTCGGAAATTTAACGTGTTCAAGATCGCGAGGGGAGCTCTCAGAATTGAACGGGAAATTTCAAAGATATAAATTGTCTCTACAGTGTCTCTCTACAATTGTCTCTACCTTTTCAAATATATAAAAAAAAACCAATAATTATGGACAAAAAACGTACAAAATGAAAAGGAAAAAACATCGTTCGCCTTTGAGTTTGGTTCACACATTTGGACAATTTGCCGGGTTTACCTTAGATCAGCCGTAGTTCCATCGGAAAGGATGATAGATTATTTTCATTTTACATGTGATTTAATGTAAGAGGAAACCTGTAGCTTATAAAAATCGTCATTTTTCGAGTAAACCCATTTTGAAAGCTTCGTGCCCTCTATGATTGTACTTAACTGCATTTCTGGGCCGGGAACCAGTCAGTTGTAAATCGTTTCAGTTAAATGTATACATTTCCAACGCGTCCAAAGATTACAAATGGAGCGCCGCGGCACGTGGCGCGTGGCTAGCCATGTTAACGGGCCAAATTCCAGGGTCTGTGTACAGGTACGTGCACACTAACGTTACATTCAACAACAAAAACGTATAACGTGAGACCTTACTTTTCTCATTGAAACGGTTTCCGACTTAAATGATATTTAAACTTTCTGTGGCATTCTTGACCATTTTCAGTGAAGACAAGTTTACAATTACTCGGCAAAACTGCAAAAATTATCCCCTAAACTGTCGCCTGTTTTGAATTTGTGACCCAATACTTTCCTACTACACGACACGGAAAAACAAAAAAAATGCAACAAATACTCTCTGTTTTTTAGCGCTAAGGTTTGCAAAAGTGACTTTGATTGCCTTAAATTCCTGTCTACGTGGAAAGAAAAATTTATTTAAGTACTTTGAGCGTGATGTTGACCGATACTTCAGTGGCTCAAACTGCCACTGCAGGCATCCATGTTTGCTGATTATCAGTATTTCATATTTTGAGTGCACATGCGCACAAACTAAATGAGCGGCTGAAACATACGTGCCTTATTAACCGTTACAAGTCCACTAGCTTATTGATTGGGTTTTTATATCCTAGAGTTTAAAAGTGCTACAGGCAAAACTTCATTCGAAAGTTGGTCCTGCTATTTGGGTTTTGGTGTTTTTTACTCACCCAATATTTTGTAATTCTTTGCCCAGATCTGTTGGAAAAGGAAGACCTTGGGACGCGCATCGGCAAATTATCAACTCACATTGATGAGATCAAGGGTGAAATCTACCACGCCGTACACGAGAAGTATGCCAACTACAGACCCACCAGGGACTCCACCCAGGAGCTACACAACAAGGTGCAGACACTGTCCACTGAGATGCAGACTCTCAGCAATAAGATCAAGGTATGTCATAGTCTTAAGGCCCTAGTAACACATTCACGGTTGGACCTACGAATATCCACCGTTTACCAAGAATCAATTGATCACTATGAACCGTCAAGACTCATGGAGAAATTGACTTTCTAAGAATGCACTAGGGTTTCAGGACGGATAGCCACAACTTTCGGAGGTTTCTCTAGGAATACACCACGGTTTCTTGAATGGATTGTTTACGAATATTGACAGTATTACCAAGAATAATGATGTTAATGCCACAGTTGTCTGCGATTGGGCCACGGATGACCAAGGTTCTCCTACAAATAAAGCATAGTCATATTCGTAGTACAACCTTAGCAGAATTCAAGCATATCTGGGCATAACCATAGGACATCTGTAGTGAATTCGTAGAGAATAGATTTCCACCACGAATGAGCTACAAATCTCCAAGAGTATGTACAAATAGCTACAAATAACACTACGAATTAGTACAGTTGTTCTATGGATGTCCCCGGGTTTCACTGCGCATTGATTTTCATGACGATTCACCACGGACGTTTGGAACAGTTTAAAAGTTCCGTAGCGCCTCCACGAATACCAAAGGAAGATGAGGGATAACCACGCAGATATTTAGGATGAATACAGTACTCCCACGGTTATCACAATTCTCAACTGTGGATAGCTGTAGCTCCAAACAGTGAATGTATGACTGAGGCTTAACGGCTAGACATTGTTATGGTTTGATATGCAATAACCTGCTGCAGTGATAAACCCACACCCACTGACCAACCAATATCACCCACGAACCCGTCGGAACAACGTATAGGCCAATTCCTACTGGTTGTGTAATGTGCGCGCACCTTTGGCCTAATATATGCAGCGCGCATTCAAAAACAATTCACAGTAGTTCCCAAGAAAACTTTCAAATTTCTTCAAGTAACGTAAAACATGCAGCAAGACGTTTGTGCAACTTCATTGGTCAGCACTTTTGTTGTGTGTAGTTTGTGTGGGACTCTGAAAAAGAACAGTAATTGCCTGCGGAAGTAGAACATGCGCACTTCCCCCATTTTTTTTTGGGGGGGGGGGGGGAGATTTTATGAGTTTCCCTAGACTTTCCGATGGTGGGGGATATTGGTTGGTTTTGATAGCCACCTCTTGCGACGGCGGGTCATCGCTGTAGCAGGTAATTGCGTATCCGACCATAACATCGTCTAGCCCCTAGACTAGGTATGTGAGGCTGTGTCTGATGAGACAGGCATTGTTGTCTGTGGCAATGGCTTTTGACTTAATGCACTATCAGGGTTCGACCTTAGCGGTGGTCCGCTGGCCAAACGCCAGTTGAATTGCCGGCAGACCAGCTGAAACACCTTGCCAAGTGGTCCGGCTGGCCAGCTGAAAAAATCTGTGTCAAAAAAATGCTTGTTGTATTTATTTGGTTTCTTACTTATATGTACATTCGCTATTTTTTCAAAAGAAACCTCCGTTATTTTTACAAATTTGCTTCGCGATATGACTACTTCGCAATTTGATGTCACGGTGACTATAATCATGTGCGTAATCCGGTAACCCGTAATCCAGCCCAATGCGGCGATGACTGGTTCCCGCCAAGCCAATTTAGAAGACATCATGATGAAAATGCGGTAACTAGTCTGTGCACGGCTATGCGATCGACAGCGCTAGAGCATTGCTGCTATGCATCGTGCAGGCGCCAGGCACGTGCTCTGTCAACTGGTCGGATTCGACATCGTTATAATGCCAAGAAAACACCAATGGAGAAAGAACATTTTTGCAAGTTAATTTTATACAGAATTGATCTAGCTTGTCTGTGTATGTATTTTCTGTGTTCAAGAGTTCATTTTGAGAACGCACTACTCGTATTTGGAGTGATACATGCCGTGTGTTTCCCGAAATTTTTGACCGTGAAAACGGGTCGGTCGGCCCATGGTGGGCCGCTCGCCACACACGCACGCATCACACACCTCAGAGTTTTGGCCAGCTCCCCATGTCTTGACTAGCGATGTGCATATGGTGTGAACGACCTGAATTTTCCATTAATTTTTGGGTAATCCTTATTTTTAGGACCCCTTTCCTATATAAGGTTAAAAGACTCACCAAAACAGCTGACTAAATGACACTCAAAAGTGACATTCTGGTATTTCTTGGCACATTTGAACAGTTGGCAATGACACCTCTTGAATATCAGCAGGTTTGATTTTGTAGAAAGAGGGCAGGGTTTTGATTTATGAGGGGACGATGACAAACAGAAAATAGATTTAAAAAGCAAGATGGCGACCTGCCAAAAAAGGTAGGAAAGTCACTTTTTCTTTGAAAGTGCTTTCAAAATTATAACTAACATGAGTTTGTCTGAAGAAAAAAGACTTCTTTAGCCTGCAAAAGTCACTTTGGTACTGGACAGTCATCTGCAAAAGTCAGTTTTGAACAGAACTCGTACAAAAACTTTTTTGAAATTATCGAACGTAAATATATTAACAATAAAGGTAGGTTTTATTCACTTTTTGTTGCTATTTCGTGTATAGCTTTCGTAGTGCAATGAAAATAGTTCAGGCTAATACTTCGCATATAAAAAATTGAATACCCCATTCACTCTGCATAAAAAAAATTGGCAAAAAAAGAATTTCCGACCGACCGACCCTATTTTTGAAAGGCATGTAATTGGAAGCAGAACTATTTTTTTTGGCCTAATTAAGGTAGGTTTTATTCACTTTTTGTGGCCATCATTTTGTGTATAGCTTTCGTAGTCAAGGGCGGATCCAGGGGGGATGCCCCCCCCCAAAAAAAAAACGAAACCAATTTTTTTTTTTTTTTTTAATGTGACATCGCAATCAAGGCAGGCAATGAGTACACCACCATCTTTTCCTCAAAAAAAAAACATTGGTTAAAGTGGTCAGAAATTGCCTCAGATCGCACCACAGAGCATCTAGAATCCAAAATGTTTTTGGTGCCCTTAAGCGGGCCCCGAACCCCACGCCGTAATTTTTTGACCCACTTTTTTTGGGGACCACAATTTTTTTTGGCCCCCCAAAAAAATGTGTTCTGGATCCACCCTTAAGTAAGATTTGAGGCTTTGCATGGTGAAGATACTAAATAATGAAAGGTTTGCAGAAACACCATGTGCGAATAATTTCTCAACTAAGAGAATGGTTCTGAAAGAACCAGAGGTATAGTTTAGGCACTTTCCTGAAGACGGTCAGAGCATACTGACCGGAACGTCGAGTTGATACCTCTGGTTCTTTCAGAACCATTCTCTCAGTTGAGAAATTATTCGCACATGGTGTTTCCGCAAACCTTTCATTATTTGGATCCGCCCTTGTTCGTAGTACAATGAAAATTAATCAGGCTAAAACTTCGCCTACTGAGGCCTAATTGAATACCCCTTTCAAGCTGCATAAAAAAAAATTGGCCAAAAAAACCCCAAAAATCAGACCTACCAACCCTATTTTTAAAAGGCATGTAATCTGAGGCAGAACTTTATATTTTTTTTGCGGCCTCAGATCATGGAGGAAGAAAATAGACCTCTATTGCTCAGGTGACATGGGTGTTGACTATAGTCTAGTTTAATAAGACTGATGTGAAACTGATTAACTGGTGGGTACACGCTGTATAAGACGGACCAGTCAAAAACCTGGCGGACCAGTCAAAATTCTGGCCAACTGGTCAGGCTGGCTAGTCAAAAAAAAAAGTTAAGGGCAACCCCTGTGAAAGATAGTAAGGGGACTAAACTCCCTGTGAAATTATCCTTTCTGGCAAGCTCTCAATTCGAAGAAATCAACGAAACTCATTTCCAATGGTGCGTCTTAAGAAGCACCATAGGAAAATTTAAATTAGTAGTTCGTTTTGTTATTCAGCGCAGTGCGCACAAGCATTGGAACGACGCACAGGCGCGCGCGGTTGCTATAATTTGTCGGATCAGTGCGCGACATCGCGTAAAGCTGCAATTCAAAACAATTTGAAACATGATTTAGCAACTTTTGATTTGAAATTGAGATCCTAGAATGCTGTTTTTCTCGGAATATAAAGCTGAATCTGAGCTGAAACTTCATCAAGCAAGTTGTTCTGTATCCTTCATTAGATTTTGAACACATTTATTGCTTCAAACGAACAAAATGCACTAATTACAAATGATGGACTATAGCTTTAAAGGACAGGCCTTCAAAGTGATTCTGTTGAACCTTTTTAATGTTTAAACTGAGAGTTTATTGCTGGAGATGTTTGAAGACAATTGTGACAACGATTCTTGAAATCACATTTTTTTTGAGGAGACAGGTTTTTAGGGTCATTGTGTTTAAATGGTGATATTTTCTGAATGGATTGACCACTTTACTTATCCATTTTTTCATCTTAAAGTACCTTAAGATGTTTGCTTTCCCTTCATTATTTTTGATGCTACATATTTTTTAAATATGAAATATAATTTTTGGGATTTTGGTTCCATTTTTTTTTTAACTCACCCTGTGTCAATCTTGAAGTATCGTGTATAACCACACACCTGAGACTACCGGCTTTTCTCAATTTGTTTTTTTCATTTCCCGGACGAGCCCCCATTTGTCACATTCCCTGGTTTGCTCCTCCCCAAGAAATATAACCCTCAGTAGTCTGGTACACCGTCACACAAAATAAATTGTCGAGTGAATTGACAATTTATTTTGTGTGACAATTTATTTTGTGTGACGGGTGTACCAGACTTCTGAGGGTCATATTTCTTGGGGAGGGGCAAACCAGGGAATGTGACACTGAAAGTTGGTTGCAATCTGTTCTGGGCCTGCACATTACTGATGACACAGGAAGTATTGACAATTCCCTACTTTAAAGTAAAATACTTTTCTATTCTTGATAATATACTGTGAATGTTTCTCGTTACCAGTAAGGTGTTTCACGGTAATATGCGCCAATCACAAGATGGAATTTTTGCAGATGAAAATCAAATTAGGTTTCACCCTTCTCCGATGTAAATACACACTGTTTACTCAGTGTGTTAAGGGCCTGGCACATTATATGCGATCTCAAAGGAGACCTTACGGCGACCAAAAATATTTCATAAATGTAACAATCGCAGCGAGGACACAAGAAAATGACAACTTTCTGTATCAAAGAAGCTCAAGCTACGCTCATACTGTGCTCTCCCCACGCTTACGATGCGCTCAACTCGCTCTCTATGCGCCCCTGTCAAGCTCAATTACTCTATCTAGTCGCTGCCGCTGCGCTGTCACTGCGCTCACACTACGCTCTGCTTGCTGTTGATACGTCCTTGTAGCTCACGTCGCGCTCTCTATTCGACCAAAATACGCTCATGGGACGTCACTTACGCTGTATAAATACCACGACAAAATGGTCAATACACAGTCCAGTTTCAAAATTATTCTACAAGTTCAACGCAGTCGAGTTACCTTCTCATGAAGACTACATCAACTGTCTTGCGCCTAGGCTGCCTCAATGCCCCTTAAATGTCGCACGATTCACGCTCGCACAGCCCCTCGAGTTGCGTCATTGTGGCGCCTTGGCCAGAGCGCCGAGGTGTTGTGATTGTTTTGTGCATGTTCAAAGACCTTGTTGCTCATCGGAGACCATTAAGACCCTCCGGCGCCCATCTGGCAACCTATGTAGTTGTTGCTGCGATCTAGTAGTTGTTTTTGTACCCCAGCTATTTTTCAAGGACGCAGTAAAAGCGCACATAAGATCGCAGACAGTGTGACAGGGGCTTTACCTCCCGAGAGAAAGTTGCCTCATACACGAATATCAATGCGTTGTGTACGGCGTGTGCAAGCACTGAGAAAAAGGAACATTGTTCTTGACAGCTGTCCAGTGACTGCTGACTCGCTGTGTGTTGTGCATGCCCTTGGCTTGGTGGCTTGCTGCTGCTTGGCCTGGCAGCATGGTGCTCTTGGTCATTTTCTGCCTGTGGAATCACACGAAGCTCAATCTGCTTCCCTGGCTGCAATGGTCGGCTGGGATTCCGTCTTGGGAAGCAACGACAGCACATGTCTTGCCACTCGACCACCGAGCTAACGGGATTGGATGGCTGGTTCGAACGGAAAATTCCATCTTATAATAGTTTATGCGGTACCCGCCGCTATGTACATCAGATTCGAACCGGCCACCCGATCCCGTTAGCTCGGTGGTCGAGTGGTAAGACATCTGCACTAGAAAGCAGGAGGTCGTGGGTTCGAGTCCCACCCGAGTGATTTTTTCCAACTTTCACTCGGGAGGTAATACACTGAGTATACAGTTTTTAAAAACGTTGGTGCAGGGCAAAACCTAATTTGATTTATATCACCCCGACGCAAAAATTCCATCTTATAACGACAGCACAGTTTGAGGAATGAGAAAGCCTTGACTACAGCTGCACAATAGTCAGCGTTAGTCAGCACTGTAGACGAGGGAATTAATTGAGCTATTGATAAGTCTGAAGATTTTCTGCAAGTTCTAGATATTCAATAGCTTGGGCAGGCAAAGTATAAGTTGTTCCCAGAGTATAAATAATTGCAGCTGAAACGTTCAGTGAGTTCAGAATGAAAAAAAATGGCAGTATTGATGATAACCGTACAGAGGAGCTTGCCTGCTCGCTTGGGACAATTTGGCAACTGTGCTGATTGCTTGCACACTTTAACTACTACCAAGATGTACAAAGCAAGAGTGGCTACTAAACAGGTAGTGTTGGTAACAAATTAATCCAAAAAAAGATGTCTTTAAAGAAAGTCTCTGGCAAGAATATTGGGATCACACCAACAATAATTGTTGGCACCCAGAGTCCTGCTGATATCTTTGCTGCTAGAGATTTAGAGGCTTTTTCCTTGAATGTCAGAGGATTGCGCACTGCAGAGAATCTCTCAGCTGCTATGATCACTACAACATAACTAGAAACAGCAACAAACATGTATTTGAATCCCAGGACATACCGTTATTTTGTTTTACCATTTTGGATTTCCTCAAAAACAAAAACCGTGAACGAACTATTGACCGTTTTGTCGTTTTACAGTTTTGTAAAACGGTCAAACTGTATTAAGTCACACACAAAAAATACTTTTTGTTGTTGTTTTTAATTGTAGAAAGCGTTAAACGGTTAGTTGCTTTATTTTAGAGTGTTATTTTACAAAATCATGACAATGACAAAATAGTCAATAGTCTTGCCGACCATTTTTTTGATTTAGGTTCGGCAATTAAGCAATGCACCTAGGAATGTTAATGCGTCCTTGGGATCGAGTCATTGCCTGGGCCCTCCTTACATTTTCGTTCTCATGACAGAATTTGCGAATTAGCTATTGAAGAGCCGCGTCGACTTAAACTCCTATTTCCTTCAAAATATCTGCAACTTCATCAAACGTCTTATATATACCATCCTGTATCCATTGTGAAAAGTAATGCCCTCCCTTGCAGTTTTCCAGCGCCATTTTTGCTTGCAACTCTTTAAGCCCCACCAACTGAATCGCATGAGAAGGGGGTCAGGGTCTGCGCCAGGAATCACACCACGCATTAATTATGCCGAGCCAACACTCGTGTAAAGCAGGGTCCCCCTCCACCCCCTTGCCCACCGCCACAAAATGCACCACGGACTGTTAACTATGACACTAAAATAAAAAAACAGTGTGTATTCAATACTGACCGTTTTGCTGTTTTTCAAAGTTATTTCTCGATCGTTATGCTATAATGAATTTTACTAAACTGATAAAACGGAGAAACCGTATTGATATTAATACCGTTTGTCGTTTTATAAAACTGTAAAACGACAAAACAGTCAATGGTTCACTTACTGTTTTTGTTTTTGAGGAAATTCAAAACCGTAAAACGAAATAACGGTATGTCCCGGGATTTATTTGACACTCTGGAATGCTTTGTACACTTCGGATGAACACAATACAAATATATATGGAGTCATAAGGAAGAGCAAGTCAGCCACAGCCAGATTGGATAAGTAGATGTTGATGGTTGTACTCATTGACTTCACTCGAATGACTGTGAAAAGAAAGACCAAGTTTAAGAGGAGGCCGATTGGTGCAATGATTTCAGTACTTAACCATAGTATTTGTTAATTTCTTTTGTGAGTCTTGATAAAGTTCTCAAGGTGCTTTTCAACTTCATCGTTCTCCATATCCAACATTTTATTCAGATGTAGCAAAGAGTGTTCTGTCCTAGTCAAGATCACTCCAGTTTTATACTAACAGCAAATATAAGACCTGGAGCAATGTGTAGTTGAAACAAAAAGCTTCTGCATTTTTTCCCCTTAGTGTTTTTTTATCTCTAAGATTTGTAAGGATTAGTTCTTTGTTCCTTGTTTTGAATGCATACTAAACCAAAGTAGACAATAGAGTTTCACAGTTGACTTTGGCACAGATGTGCTTCAGAATAACTTTTTATTTTCTCTTCAAGACTTTTTTTACATGTACATTGTGTAATCCGTCGTAAAGGTTTTGCTCATATCTAGGTTACTTTAATAAGAAAAAGTGAAATGGCACTCTGCACTTTTTACAGAGTTTTACAGCTTATAAAAGATCACAGACATAACGTAACGCTTGCATTATCTATAACTGAATAAAATTAGATGCAGATCAAAAAATGACACAAAATCTTTCAGGTCGTAATTTTGCTTACAACATATTTATTTATATCTCACATATAGAAACTTGACACAAGCTTTAGATTTGGTGTTTGGATAATCAAGAAAGACATTTAAAATACAGATACAAATAGTCACTGCATCAACAAAGATTTGAAACCATGGAATTCCTACACTCTCTTGCTTGAAATTGAAAGTGTACTTAGACTTCTGCTATCAAATGTTATACTAAGAAATTACCCATGAACTTTTCTTTTTGTTCTTGGCCCAAACTGATGACCAGCTTTGCCAACAGATTGGCTCCCGTCCGTACATTATTGATACTGATTGTGGGGGGGGGGGAACCAGCCTATCCAGCAAGAACAGAAATAATGTTTGGCAGCCAATAATTTGGAATTGTAAAGTAATAATTCAATAACTGAGCTTTTTTGTGTTTGGTGTTTCATTCAAAAGTGAATAACTTTTGTATTGCTTGAAAAATAGCAGATTGGTAAAGAAATCTGTTTTTCGGGATGAAACTCGAAAATAGCACGGAACTTAAAGTAAATTCAGTACCTCATCTGGCATTTGTTGAGCAAAACTGTTATGTGGACAGTTTTCCTTTTTTTTTTTCCTAGAAGGTACAGCATTAACCCTAACCCCCCTAGGCCCAATCACCATTCATCTTCAATCCTTCAAAATCCTCATGTGCTTCAATCACCATTCATCCTCAATCCTCCAGAATCCTCATTTGATTCAATCACCATTCATCCTCAATCCTCTAGAATCCTCCAAAACCGCCAGGAGGATTTTGGAGGAGTGAGGTGGGTTAGGGTTAAAGGTTGCATGTCTGTGTAGAGTGTGTGTGCGATTCACAGTTTCAGATGATTCTTATTTTATCTGATAAACTGTCTAAGTTGAACACATTACCCTCATTTTTTCAAGCTTAATCTTTAATTTGCTCATGCACTACCAGAACTATGTACTGTAGTTAGGAGAACGGTTGTATGTAGAAAGATGACAAGTTCCACACACAATCCATTACCCTTTGGAGATACGGTGGACACAATACGAGGGCGCTATTTGGTTTGGGTCTAGTCTTTTGCATAAGTTACCCCAATATACCCAAATCAAATAACACCCTTGTATTGTGTCTGCCATATATCGAAAAAGGCTTATAGCAGTTGAGCTATTCACTTTTTCCAAAATTTGTTAAGACTCTGGAATACTGAATGTGCTTTTCATATCTTTTCCCAATCTACAGGTTAAACAACACGGTGACTCCACTGTGGAACCAGCCGTATGAGGACCAGCTATCCACCAAATAGACCAACACCAGGGAGTTTCTGAGGAATTTATCCAAGATGCTGCAATGGAACATTGGGGAGATGTCTCCCTGGCTGAAGCAACAAAGGTGAGCTACCGGCCAAAGACACGGGATGGTTGTGGGCCAGAATGGAAATGTGATCTTCGTTGACAAGAAACTGTTTCCAGACACAGTTTTCTGGCAAATGGGCTTACATGTACAGCTGCCCTGAAATTTCATTAAAAGTCCAGAAAATGATCAGTGCCTCATTTTTCTTGAGAATCAATTAAAACTCAGCAAACTTTGGGCCAACTTCTGAAATAAACTTCCTTTCCACACACAAAAGTCCCAAAGATTAAAAGGGGGGGAGGGGAGTTGGTAAAAAAAATGTTTACAAACAAAAAGCAGAAAAATGAACACAAAACCAAACTTCACAATTCATAAGCTGCTCGAATGAGACTCGCACCAACAATCTCCTGCTTCCTAGTGCAGATGTCTCAACTACTTGACCACCAGGCTTGCTGGGGTTGGCTGGCTGGTCCCAATCTGATACAGCAGGTGCCACAATCAATGAGTTTAATTAATTGTTTACGTAGGGGAGTTGTGAATGTGAATACCTGGTTTTGACCTTCACCAATGTAAATTTGAATGCACTGTTTATTCAGTGCTGTCTGAGAGCTTACGAGCAAGGATTCCGCAAGCTTGCTTGGGTGGGATATGAACCCATGACCTCCTGCTTACTAGTGCAGACATCTTAACCACTCAATAACAGAGCTTGCAAAGGTTAGTGGGCCAGTTTGAATCTTCTGCATATATATAGCTTTGGTTACCACAAGAAATTCACAAGCCTGTTGGAGTGGGATTCGAACCCACACCCTCATGTTTAATAGTGCACTCTTCATTTGATTGACAGGAAGAACCACAGTGGGATGGAATGTGAGTTGCAGCCAATTAAGCCATCGGTGTGTAAGCTAGGTGACAAATATTTGTTGATAAAAATATAGATTTTATTTAAATTTATTTGTAGTATTGTGAATGATTTCATGAATTATAATCTCAATGATAGTTTACATTGGCACATAGTGTTAGGTTAGCCATATGGAGAACTTTGCCACCCATATGTGCAGAAAATCAAAGCCCTGCATGCTCTGCGGTCACACACAACGGTGCATTGACCCGGTGACCTGCACAGCCCTACTGTGTAGACCGGACAATACATAAACAGCAGGTCGATCCTCAGAACAAAAGCGATGTCTGATTTGACAAGAAAAGTGACCCTTGTTCTCCTCAACCAATCTAAACGGTTGTTACATGAATGGAAAGCTTATTGTGTTATCTTTCAGAAACCGTGCGAGGTAATTGTATGCGACCGGGTTCACACGTGTGCTGTTCGAAGAAGTAAACCCGCACCCTCAAAAATCGGGGAAATGTGCCGTGACCTCCATAGGAAACGCGAAATTTTCACTGAGTTGCCCGTTTTTCAATGAAAAAGTGCACATAATTATTCGCCTTTCATCATAAAGAAATTATATTCATGTGAAAGAGGAAAATCTGTATTTTGTGATGCGATGCGAGGAAGTAAGTTTAACCGACAAACTTTCCGCATATTAATGAAAATTTGCTCAGAGCGCCTAGACATGAGCCAGTCTTCCCATGTAAACAGAGCTCCACTAGTGGCGAGTGAGCAAATGCTCCCTAGTTCTCCATATGTGACTGGTGTGATCTTTGAACTCGGGTAGATAGATAGAGTCACCTTACTTGTACTAAATTTATATTTCAACCTGGATTTCTTGTTAGATAAACTATACAGCATGTGAATCTTTTGTGGGGTAAATGTTCGTGACATTGTTTGTTTCCTCATCAACAGCCAGTATTAGAGAGTTATCGCAACAAGTGTGAGTTTACCATCGGAAAGAGTGTCTATGGCATCGGTGAGTGAAACTGGCATTCATTTTTTTTTATTCATCCAACCTCTACGTTTTGTGGTTCTGCATCCTTTGGATTTGATGATTTCTGGGCAACTCTGAAGTGTCATTGGTGGGATGTGAACAAACTGGGTCTCTCTCACCCATGTTTTGACCAGAGGTGGGGGGATGGGCAATGGCATCATCATGTGTTAGGAAAAATGCTGCTCGTTGAATCCTGTCAACATGACTTTACAAAGAAGTTGAAGTAGTTCTGAGAGAAGCAAAGAGCAACCCTAGGCACTCTTAAATGAAAGTAAAGTTTAACATCAAAGAATTTCTTTTCTTGGTTTTTTTTTTTAAGATAGAGCACACCTATCCACCAGTATTGGTGTTCAAGGCACTGCATCATTAAAAGTGCACATTGCCTGGAATGGCAAAACATTTCATACAATGTGCCTGTTATGAACACCGCAACCGAAAGTTTCAGGAATTTTTTTCTCAGTTATTCCCCTAAATTCTTGTCAGGTCTACATGAAACTTGGCCCTGGATAAATTGTGCAAACGTTTCAGATTCATGTCTTATTATTTTCATTGACAGATAACACTGTTGGTTTCCGGCTTGGCGCTTACAAAAGTAAGTATTTCCTCTGAAGTTTCCTTTTTGCAAAAGACGTAGATCAGCTTATATGTTTGATTGGATCGGCTGTCGCGGGGGCGTGGCCTATTGGTAGCTAATGCTGATCAATTCCAACCAATCAGAATGCAACACACAGAAAGATTGACAGGTGTACATATTGTGCATTGTCTAATATGTCTGTCAGGAATTAATTATTGAAAAGAAAGAAACAAGCCACAAAAGACTTACACCCTTGTCATCCCCTTTGCTGACCAATATGTTGGCTTACTTTTGTGGCATGAATATTGAGGGTATATGTTTGTACTTTCAACATTGACCAGCAAGCTCTTTTACTCAATAGGGATTTTTTAACAATTACTTTTGTACAAGCAAGAATTAGATTTTAAATAAAAAAATTCAGGAAATCACTGTTTGTTTAAATGTTGCTAGTGTACACTTTTATTTATTTTATCACTGATCTTGCTTTTACACGCAAATTTGTTTGTCCTATAAAAAGTGTGTGACTTTTAGAAACATGGTTTGCCCTGCAATTTTTTTTCCCAAATATTACTAGGTATCAGAAAGACGTAAGAGCTCAAACACCGATTTGGTGATAGTACATTTCTGTATTATTTGTGTTTAGAGTGTTAAATTACACAAGGAAATAGCAGCTTTAATGAACATATAAAAAGCAGCAATTCCTCGGATACTGTGCAAATTAAGATACATCTTGTATGATGCTAACTTTACAACGACATTCATATTTTACAGCATTGATTTTTCAATTACCCAAATTTGAAGTACCCTTGAGTCCATCTAAAAGAAATATTAGAATATTGCTTTGCATTTAAACATCATACAGACATGGAGCTCATAATGCAACAGACTAGTGGTGCTACACAGATTATGTACAATTATAGAGCATGCAAGTCTCGCCAGTTCACATTCACTTTTCATGTGAACATCTTGGTACCAAACACTGACTAGTCTAGCCACAGACTCCCGTCTTTGAATTCACCCAATGAACGGAAGTGGAGGTCCACATTTTTTCAATTTACTATAGTAATCAACTTGCAATATTTTTTGAATGTGTTGTAAATTGGAATGATTTGTTCTTGTTCAGAACCCATTCTTTACCCTTGACTGGATAAACCTAGTAAAATCACCTAGGTTTTTGAGGTCAACTTGCACGCTCTATTGACAGAAGTGGATTACAAATTGCTGACTTTAGCCCGGTTCAAACTTCACACAAAAGCATGTGCCAAGCAAAATTCATGTCGTCAACAATGGTGGACGCCCTTCGAATGTATTGTTGACGTCAGGAATTTCGCTTCGCTTTCGCCTTCGTGTGAAGTATGGACCGGGCTTTTAACTATCAACTACATTTTTTTCCAGCTAGTAGCTGTGATTACAACTTTAATACACCAGACTTTAAATCCCATACTGTACATCTAAAGCCTACAATGGTCTCATATTATATATCTGTGCTCTGCAGAAAAAAAGTCTATACCCTTGATTTCTCCTTGCTAAAGGATTTTTCAAGAAACTTCGAACAAAAAACAGCACTTTATTTGGTCTTCAAAAAAAGTTATTCACATTGTGCAACATGTATGCACAAAGATTGGTATACATTTGGAATCAGATGCTCCTAATGCATAACTTGCAACTTTGTTGATCTGTTACTTAGGCTGTGTCTGAAACGGGCTTCTAGAGCTATGGCTACGGCTATTGTCAGATTGTTCCCATGTAATTGTTTTGGGTGAAGACCTAGACAATATAGCTCTAGCCATATCAAGTTTTTTAATCTGTTCATTTGTGCATCAGGTCTTGACCTACAAGATAACCATTCCACCAGCACCTCTGACGTACCGGTGACTGGCGCTGCCATAACGGATCCTTATCACTATCTGACGCAACAGCACTTCACCTCAGAGATCTTCAAGATTGAGATCCAAAACCTCCCAAGACATTTTGGATTTGCGGTGAGTTTGCTCCCTTAACATTCAACCCTCCATAATGATAATCAGGCGGGGTCCAGGATTATTTTAGACAGGGGGCACATCGTTGGAACATGTTCTCCGAGAACTATGCGAGCGCGGGAAATTGTGGATTATAGATGATCTGTATTGCAATCTGAGGCGATTCCTAGCCCCTCTTACCCCGACTTATTTGAGCAAAACGTTTTAAGATCATATGGATTTTTCATTGGTTTAAAATAAACTCTTACTATTACAAACCTTTTTAGTTTCTTCTGTTCTTCACTTGATAACCATGTATTTTCGTCTGCATATTTTTGTGCATTAAAAAGGAATTTTATAGACTTCGTTTGTGAAACTGTTACAAGGATGCTTTCTAACGTTTTGTTTCAAGTTGAAATGTTCAGTTTATCAATAAGAACAAACCGCTTGAACATGTACATTGAATTCAAGTTTAAAATTAGTGTAATTTAATCCAATTAAAACAGAGGAGCAATTAGGCCTCCATGCACATTGTAAATTCACAGCTCAGATTTATCTCGTGACTAATCTCATGCATGCGTAATGTAATTGCCCAAACATTTTACAGCAATGTTCTTGGTTTTAATTCAGTCCAGTTTCAATTTCAAGAATAGGGCCTAGTTAATACATGTACAGGTACATGTATTTGTAAATAAACCATCGGCAGATCGGCGGCACAGCAAGACAATTGTATAAAACACTCATCATAGTTTGTACACATGTGACTGGTCTCTTATAGAACAGATAATAGTCATTGGGCCTTTGGCCCCATGATTGCAATTCCCATTTAGTACGATACATTGTGAAGGTGTTTTCGTCATTTTGTTATGTAAAAAAATACAGTAAATAATTGTATATTGATGACGTTGAGAAATAGACATCAGGAATTGGTGTATTCCTATCCCAACCCGGCACAGACAGGCGCCGGTCTGCGGCCGCCACAGGCAAACTCCAATAAAAAAATTCCTCGCTTGCACTTGAGAAAGCAACTCACAGCGTGTTCTGTCTAACTTGCCAGAGCATGTCTAGAGTGTTAAACTTTGCCTTTACGCTATAACTGCTGATTTTTGTCCAAAGAACAAACAGATCCCTTTTAAGTACCAAACTTATCAGGTTGGTATTTTCAGCGATGTGTAGTAATGTCAAAAACCTTTTTCGTGAAAGAAAAATGTTTTATGGACGGATCCATGTATGCCTTCAGGGGTGTTTAATTTTTGGGGGGGTTTTACATTGTTTCTCGAATAAAGTCTTTATGAAAATTATATGATGACGTTGAAGAACTCATTTTAAAACAAGGAAATGTTTTGGACTCCGTGAAAGTGTAATTTGTACTATTTGTAAGGAGGTTGCTCTCCTCCTTCCCTTCTTCTCGCTCTTCTCCCCCTCTTTTTGTCCTTTTTTTCTTCTTTTTTTGTGGACCCTCGGACCACCCCTGGATCCGCGCCTAAATTAACATACAGTTTGCACTTCTTCTTTTTTATAGCATAAAGAAATTAAAGGGCCGCGAAATGAATTTCACTAAAATATTACCATATACAATGTATAAGCCTCCTGTATTTATCAAAGTAACAACTACATGTACTTATTTATTTCCTTTTTTTCAAGTGCTCTTTTTACAATGTCCTAACACTTTCAATTTACAGCTTTGGGATTTTCTGTGTAATTTATGAACCTAAATTTCTCTGCATTGTACATGTACACATAGCAGTTTGCACATTGAAGTACCCCATTGACTGCCTGCCATGTGCTAAATGAAGAAAACAGTCACATCAACCTCGGCCAAAACCATTTTGTAATTTTTTTGTCCTCAAACATCAGTGAAACTGAAGTTGCAGCACATGACGTCACTGTAATTCTCATGAATATGCACCTTGGCACCATCCTAAAAATATGAAAAAGCCTGAAACATCCAAAGACTTGGAATACAGAGGTGCATTTCCTAAAATTAAACCTCCGAATCTGTTTCCAAGGCACTTGAACAAGTACTTAAGGTGGGACAAATGTCAGGGTTATCCATATGTTAGTGCCAATAGATGTGCATTTTCACAAATAAAGAGTAGCAAACTTGTTCATTTACAAAAATGTCATCAAGTAACAAGGAACAGATATGGAAAGTGTAATTCATTTGCCAAGAAGATCATTTGTAAGTACATGTAGTTCAACACCACTTGAATACATACATTGAATGAGTTCCAGCTGTTCCCTGACAGCAATGTGCTCTGGTCCTGCACATTACTGATGTCATTGTTGCATACGTGTATTGGCAATCTGCTAAATTAAAACTCATTTCAACTCTAGCATATTATTTGCTGTTAATATTTCTCAATTTCAAATCTACTTGGAATTCCAATGAAGAAGATGTATGAAACGGCCTTAAATCTGCTCCACACTTTGAACACAGCAAGTTCAAAAGCAGCACTGACTCTACACACTGCTGCCCTTATAGATGGCTTGTACTCATCAGTTACCAGAGAACATTGCTCTTGACAAATTTCCAAGAGTGTCTCCCTTCTGGTTCTGGATGTGCATACTACTGCCCTTGTGCTGATGGCTCAGTGCCAGTCAGCCCAGGACATTGTTCCTGAGTACTTGCAAGTGACTGCTGGCTCTCTGCTGGTTCTGGATGTACACACTGTTCCCCTTGCATGGATGGCTTGCAGTCATTGTTCCTCATGAGAAATTGCAAGCGCTGGTTGCTGGTTCTGCATGTACTTCAACATGCACTTGAACATGCTGCAGACTGTGCATGGATGCCTTGCTGCTGCTTGGCCTGGAACATTGTTCTTGACAGCTGTCCAGTGACTGCTGACTCGCTGTGTGTTGTGCATGCCCTTGGCTTGGTGGCTTGCTGCTTCTTGGCCTGGCAGCACGGTGCTCTTGGTCATTTTCTGGCTGTGGAATCACATGAAGCTCGATCTGCTTCCCTGGCTGCGATGGTCGGCTGGGATTCCGTCTTGGGCAGCAATGACAGCACAGTTTCAGGAATAAGAAAGCCTCGACTACAGCTTCACGAAAGTCAGCGT